GATGACTCGCGAATTTATGATTATTTAATGCAGCCACGAGCAAAATGCGCCATCGCTTGCGATAATTTCATTTGGCCGCTAATGACCTGGATAATGTTGGACGATAGTAAATAAATTTCGACACGCTGGACATCTGTAATTGAACGCGCGAACGAGAGTCCCCTTGTCGCAGCTGTCGAGATTATTATCCAGCCAGCGCGCGCGGGTCCGAAAGAGGCATTTTTTCTTTTCTTTTCTTTTCTTTTTTGAAACATTCGGAGAGACTCCGCCGTGTTGCGCGGCGAAGAAATACGATCCGCCCCCGGGAAACGCGGGGAAAAGTTCGACGGAGGGGTTTTTTTTTACAAGTTACTTATTCCGGCGTATTGGAGTGAGAAAATCGAGATTGAAGAGAATGGAAACGGAGTCTTCTCGCGGTCGACGATAAAGACGACCCCGATCTCCGGGATCAATTTTCGAGAGACTCTCGCAAAGCGATTCCCGACATGGACCGAGAGTACACGCGAGCGTGTATCTGCGCGACGTATCTCCGCGCTCCCGAACCAGTCCCGGCGACCTTAATACGCGTAGACGACGTCCTCGCGGTATCCTTGAATTGTTCGGATACGGCTGCGAAAGAGTCTCCCTCCCTTTCCCCCCCCCCCTCTCTCTCTCTGTCTGTTTCTTTCTGTCTTTCTCTCGTCCTGACAATGCTCCCGCCGCGCGACTCTGCCTTTTTCTCATAATCCTCATCGTCGAAGTCGGGCCGCGATGCACAAGTCGGTCGCGCGAGCCTCATCCTTGGCCCAGCTTTTATCTTCGACTTGGACCTCCCCGCGCGCCGCCGACCCGTCGCACCCGCGGAAATTGCGCGGAATTAATTGGCTTAACGCTTAAACCCGAATAAGTGCAGGAGTGTGTTCTCGCCGCCGGCGATGATACGGGGGAAAATTAGTAACCTGTTGTTTGCCGTCTCCGTGTTTACCGCGGTTTCACGGGGGAACTCGGCTGCTTGCGCTGCAACTTGGAGTACTTAGCGAGCGCGGCAGCGTGGAGAAACCGAAGGTTGAATTAAATTAAATTTAACGGGGCGATTGTGCAAATGAATGCTCCAGCGAAGGACCCTCGTAGGCAGATTTATCTCCAATTTACGTTATCTCTGGAGTGAGAAAGCTTTATCGACGAAACTGACAGGGGGAGTGCGCCTTAATTAATAAATATCGTCGGATGAACATCAAATCCAAGACATTCCGTCGTTGAAATTATGGGAAATGATTTCTTCGTTTTTCTTTTGCGTACATCGCGGTATTTAACATGTATTCAAGTGTCGTTAAACGCGATTATTTAAATAAGGCTGTTCATATTTTAGATTACAAAGATTATTGGGCTACCAAGGCGCTTGTTCGCTTTACGTGTACAGGGTGTACTAAAACCGCCGGATTTCCTTTTAATCGCAGATTCTTTAGAAAGTTTCAAGACAAAAATTCTAATACGAAAATGCCGTGGCTGTAATAGTTTTTAAATAATAAGCGATTGTATTTTACAAACAATAGGCCTGAGATTTTGCGACGTGGCAAGCGATAAAAGTGTTCCTATGAATGTCGCCCTTTTTATGAATTTTGCTTATCGCATAAATTTCAATAACTTCGTCGCCATACGTTTTCCCGCTTCTTTACGTGTTGCATCAGTATCTTTTCTTTACGAATAACGAACGTGTGAGCTTAAAATATCTTGAAAATAATTAAAAATTTGCAACATGTAACCTTAAAGTGTCGCAGCTGTCAAAGTGATCGATGAATATCAGTTGCCTCGAAGGTTGTTAAAAGGCTACTATTCATAGGAACACTTTTATCATTTGTCACGTCGCCGTACCTGAACGCGCGAAATCTCAGGCCTATCGTTCGTGAAATACAATCGCTTATTATTTAAAAACTATTACAGCCTCGACAGTTTTGTATTAGAATGTTCGTCTTGAAACTTTCTAAAGAATCTATGATTAAACGGATATCCGGTGGTTTTAGTACACCCTGTATACAACAGTCCTATTTAACTTTATTTAAATAAGAATGATTTGTCGACCACAACTGGCTAATTTATTAAAATTTCGTGCACAACGTCCCGACCAATATTGCTGGTCCTGTTGAAATAAACTGAATTGATGTTACAGTCATTGCTATCGAGGGTCAAAATTGAGAGAATATGAAAGGAAGTAAGGTCGAACTGTATCCTCTCCAAAAATCAATCAGTAGATTGTCACTGAAAACAGTGAATATTCACTGATTCAGTTACGAGTATCGCACAGAATTATTCCTTATACTTATATAACTGTTTTCAGTGATAATGCATGACTTTAGAGAGTAAATACGGTGTCAAAGCGAGGCTGCGATTATTTAACTGATAAAATTGCTGGAGACACTTTTGCCAGACTTTTTTTAAATATATTTTCTGAGATAACATTACGGAGGCAGAGGCGTTGCTCGATTTATTTAATGCTCATAATAAATGTATCGCGCCTCGGGGATGTTATCGCGATGGCGGGGGGTTTCTTTTATTTTGCGGCGAAATTGCGGTGATCCGCAACGAAATTGCCGAAGAACCGTATTAAATGGTTAATGAATTCGACGGCAGCGGTTCGGCACTTGCCGCGTATCGGTGTGCGCAAGCACGCCAATCGATTGTCGGCTGTGACGTCATTCACAGAGACCGGCATTCGTCTTCAACTTTGGCCTTTCGACGCCCCGATATTCGATTCATGGCTTGTCTACACGTGTCGGCCGAATAATTGCGTTTTTACGAAGTCAATTGCGCACCGAGCAGCCGCGAAGTGTTGCTAAATAAAATTAATTATGCGCTAACTCCGTTTCCGTTTTTCGGCCGTGTAATTACACGACGGCGATTGTACGCTTTGCGGTTACCGGTAGAGCGATTTTAGAATAGGATTCGTGTCACTCCGCAGTTCTGTTTACTTATAATTATTTATCTTGTCAAAAATTCATGCGATGACGTTCGCTTCTGTCATTATTATCGCACGACATTGAAATATTGTGTTATTATTCGTGCAATTGTTTGTGGAATTAATTAGCTCGCGATCAAAGAAGCGGGCAAGAATCGAGTCTTAAATGCGCCACAACTTGCAAATTTCCTTTTGCAGATGCTCATTGACAATTTGGATTCTTAACGGTGTCTTTATCTTGCACACAAGTATCCGGTGAAGTTAGTCGAGAAAGTCGACGTGCTACGCGGTCCGCACGTTCGCGAACCTTGGTTTCCTACTTACGTATCGGCGGAAGCTCTAGCACTTAATGACGTCTGACGGATAAAATTGCGCAAGAAAATCGGAAAGTCGGCGCGAACACGAGCGCTATCGGCGATCGCGTTGCGTGCGCGCGTAACGTAACGCGTAAATTTCGTTTAACGCGGCGTCAAGCGGGCGCTGTAATCAGAATTGTAAATCTGTCGTATTGCAGTCGGAATTGTAAAGAACGCCTTTGAATTTAGCAACAGGTATCTGTCGCGGGCTGAAATTCACATAAAAATTTCCCCCAGTTCTAATTTAACTACCTGTTTATCAATTGCGGTGCATCTACACGTTGTTCCCGCATTAGAATAAACGCAGACCTGTAATGTGCTGCCCGGCGGTAATCAATAATCGCAATAATCGCAACAGTAATGGTAATCACGCTATCGGAATGTCGGTACAGGCTTTATCGTCGAATAATTGATAAGCCAAACAATTTGCAGCGCGGGGTTGTAGGACAGCGTGGTGCAGAAAATTAGAGGATTTACGAGCTCTGACGCGTCTACGGGCGATCCCGAAGATCAAGATGGGTACGTCGGGAACGGGTCGACCCGGTCGAGATTCCTCGCGCGCAACGACAACGATCGCGGCGTTTCAATAACGATTTCATAATTAAACACAATGCCGCCGCGGCCGGCCGCGAAGAAACGTCCCGCGCGCTTTGTCCGCCGCCGTGCGGCCCCATCCGCTCGGCGCGGCTCCAATCAGATCGCCGCGAACGCGCTCGGATGCTGCGCCCATCTCTCCGCGGCATGCGTGAGTACGAGCGAGGCGCGTTTAACCTACATAAAGTGGAATCGTGATTGGGCGAAGTAAATGGCGAGCGATCTCTTCGGATAATCGACATGCAAGCGCGCTCTTCCCGCGCGGAGAAAGCCGGTTTCGTTTATTCGTTCGTTTGCAGGAAAACAAAAAAGGAGCCAGGCTCTCGCGACTAGGCGGCCGCGGCTTCGCGCGCGCACGTTAGGCAACCTCGCTGGCAGTTTGATCACTCTTTTTTTCTTTTTTATTAAGCGATCCCGAATTGATACGGCGCGAATGTTGAAAAATGCATAACGCTAAAGCCGAGGGATAAATCTGAACGAATGGGGGGGATTAAAGGGACTCAACGTGGCTTATTCGCGCTCCCACGATTATGAACTATTGAAGTATAACGCTTTGGCATTATCCTATCAGCGGCGTGATTCATGCTGGTCTCCTATTAGCACCGTAACGCTCTTAACGTATCGGTAACTCCAGGAGTTGCAGCGCCGTTTCTGCAATTCTAGAGGCACCGAATTCACATCGCAATCGTCGCCTGTCAGAAATCACGCTGATTGATAACGCGTACAGGAGACCGAGTGGAAGGACACGTGCAAAAAATGGCAAATATCGTGAAGCGCGAAATTCCGTAGTATCAGATATTTTTGGGGAAGCAATAGTTTATCCGAGATTTGATTTATTTTAGACCTGCTTTTAAATTGATTTACTGCCATATACGGGTGTAATAAAGATCGCGTAAAAATATATGTGCGAGCCGCGCGTATAAATACGCCCTCTGAAATACTTTTCTCTCTCTCTCTCTCTCTCTCTTATTGTGAAGGCTTAAACATTCACCGTCCAAAAATATCTCTTATGGCGGAACGGCACGGTCGCGTACAGCGCTTTACAAGGCAATATTGAAAATTAGAAGTGGAGGACGATATCAGTTAGGAAAGTGCACACGTTGCTGTTTTGTTTACAGGGTATTATCAGCCGGCTGGTCCACTGATACAGCACCCACCGCCGCCACCACCGACCTTACCGCCCATTAAGGGCCCACCTCCGGAACCGACACCCACACCTCCCCAAAACTCGGAGGGTTCGGACGATCTGGTCGCCACTTCCACGACTTCGGGAGGCACGAGCAGCACGGGTATGCTATTAATAGTCAATGACAGCTAAAGACACGTTACGAAAGGAGAAGACCTTTCCGTCTCGCCCTGCCTTCCTTTTGTAGAAAAAAATTATTTAATGGTTGAGATATCTTACAAGTTTTCTTACAATATTTTTCTCAATTTCCACGCCAAGAATTATATTTAATAGGTTTCCTCGATCTTTGTGCATCGCGCAAAGCATCTATTCTTAGCTAAAAGAAAACTATTAATAGTTTGAAGAATGGAGTTTTTATTCTTGTACTCCGTAATCACAGAGAGCAGAAAATTTTAGAAGTAAAACTTGCGGTACCGTCTACACGTTTCGTGATTGCAAGGAAATTGTTCTCGTCTCTTAATTTTTAACAATAACGAAGTAACCTGTAATCTCTGTTAAAATTAAGCAAATTTTGAATTCTTTTAGAATTCATTTCTTGCGCAAATTTTTCTCTTTCGATATTGATGTTTTCAAGTAAAGTTTTCCTAGAAAAAGGCTGTAAGTTACATAAGATAATTGTATAATTGACGCGTTCCCTTTTTTAAGGCAATCTCTGCATTTGATATGTCAGACAGTTTTGCTATCTCGATTTATCAGACAGATTTGCCGCTGTGGCAAATGTCGTCATGCGTCTCGCTAGGGCAATGTATCACCAGACACACATCAGATCTCGCATTTACATTAATGATTTTATCGCGCAGCGCTCAACATAACATGGTTATCTGTACTGGAAATGCATTAATGACTGGTCGTGCAGGTGCATATTAAGATTGCACATAAGTGGTGCATGGTCGGAAAAAAGAAATGGATCGTAGGTACCCGCCTCGACCTTCCATTCCCCCGTTTTCTTTTATTTCGCGTTCTACGTAGGTACCGTCAGCAATTTTTACATTCTTTTTTCGTGAGTTTCAGCGAAACAAATCGCGTTACGAAAATTTATGAAAATTCGCTGACGGCGAAACGGGATATCCCTGTGTGACGTCGCGCAGATCCTAATGGAAATACCTTTTTTCTGCGTGCCAGAAATGGTTTATGAATGTGTTATAAAAGTGGCGCGCGCCGCATTAAAATGCAAAAGAACAGTGATGCGCATTAGCGGTTTTTAAGTCGGACAAAAACGTCGGGTCGGTGTAAGATTAAACCACGAGAGCGTGCATTTTCTTCTGCATTTTTTTTTACGCGTGCAAATAGTATGTCGCGCCACGATATTAGCATGTTATAAGCGACTCTAAATCATGCGACGCATTGACGTGAGCGCAGGGCTAATAGCGCGAGCACTCACGGGCTTAATTGGACGGGAGATATCAGCCTCTTCGATAATATAGCGCTCGCTACCTTCGAGCGCTATATCAAGATGTCAAGTATAGCACGTCAGTACACCAAGATTATCCCTCGGTACTGATAACCGGTAACTATCGTCGTCAAGTATGTGTAGGCTTGGGAATGATCATTCTTTAGATAAAGCTACTCTTTTGGCGGAGTTCGATACTACGCGTATAACTAAATTATCGTGTTACACACGGAGAGAATTTTCTCTTCAAATTTATCCTGAAAATCGTGTGCTCGCGGGACAACGTAGTGGCATTTTGACGAATTTTATGGGTTTTTGAAATTTTATACTAACAACTCTGGGAAAAAAAAGACAGTCGAGCAAACCATTTCGGGGCCCATAATTAGCAGTCGAATTATTTGGATTGTTCGTAACACTCTAATCTTTTGCGAATTTTACCCCGCGTAATTAAAGATCGCAATTAGCTATTCTGTCTATATCCAAGACTTTTAAGTAATACCAATCAATGCTCTCAATTAGTTCTGTTGCACAACTACAAAAAAAACCCGGTCAAAATTTTTCCCAGAGTAGAGTTACGAACAATCCGAATAATTCGATTACTAATTGTGGGCCCCAAAATGGGTTGCTTAACTGTCTCTTTTTTTCCAGAGAATAAGTACCATATACTAACAAGAGAACGGTCGAAAGTGTTCCTCACCGGTGAAATGTATGGTAAAATTTCAAAAGACTCGTAAAAATCGTCGAAATGCCGTGTTGTCCCGCGATTGCACAATTTTCAGGATAAATTTTGAAAGAAAGTTCCCTCCGCGTGCTTATTGTCAGCCGCATAACTTATCACTCGACTAGATTTAAACCACTATTTGCCCGAGATTATCGTCCGTTTAATATCCTTCATTAATTTCTCTCGATTTAAATCTTCGATAACTCGAGTGTTATGTAAATATATAACGTTCCCTCTTAGCAAGTATAACGCGCGCAAATTGCCCTAGCGATATCCCTTAACGACTCGTGAAGTGCGGCGTCCATCGTAATTATCAAACGAATGTTCAAAGCTTATTCGTCGTTTTGCGAAATCGATCATCGTGCGTTCGATGGGGGACACGCATGGGATGAATGAACGGTCGTTTGTTACAGGTGGAGGCTTTTATAGGACATATTGCCCGCAGTACTTCACCACGCCGCCGCAGTATCCGGAACTGTGTTATCCGCCGACGTATTCTCATCCTCACGCTCATCCGCCGCATTACTACAAATACGCGCCCACTTACAGGAGGTAAGAGATTTATTCGCGTTCGACGCTTTGCATGATGACGCGAGCGAGAAAGGGGCCGAGGGTATGCCACTTTGAGGAACGGCATATGCGCACGCCGTCCCGTTGTTGTCGTAACATTATCGAGCATCTGCTTGCGTTAAGTGGCGCGTTAATCCTAAAGCTCATAATTATTACGTAATGTTGCGAGCATATCGTTAGAGCGTCGTACGAGCCTTTCGGCAACTAATCCCCGCTGTTAATTTCTTACTTTTGAATACACTGAGAGAAAGTCTTTGAAAATTTATTTGTGGCATACAATGTTGATTTCACTGAAATAAACTGACATTATCACAAATACACATTATGTGCCACAAATAAATTTTCAAAGACTTTTTTCTCAGTGTAGTCGAGTTTACGATTAGCGTATTGCTTTGTCGATTTTTTTTCCAACTTTTTGTCCCGTGAAATCGATTAGCTCGATTTCTGAGAGGCTCGCGTATGTAAAGCGACAATGGTTATTCTATTAAAACGTTATCACCGTCACCGTTTTTCTTCCGTAGTGATAACTCGCTTTGAATAGATGTTTGCAGAATTTATAAATGTTCACGGTGCAGTTTGTAAATGTTCGCCACGCGATTTATAAATATTAAGTATTGAATCGCACAGGGTTTATGTATAATGAACAAAGCGCGACTGTTGTGTCTTGCATTAAATATGGTCGCGGTAACCGTTTTGCCGTGCGAAAATTGTTTTTGTTCACGTTTACAACTAACCGTGCGCGGTTTTGAACTAGCGTTAACGAAAGAAATATAGGCACTGTTGGAAAAACAGCGCATCACATAAAATGCCCGTTTTAGCGTGTTTTTAGACTCTCTGTTACGAAATAAATTGGTTACGTGATATTGACAAAATCGCCCGGTGCTGCGGCATTATTCAAATTGTTTGAAAACGCGTATAAAAAAAAAGCATGTAAATTTAATATTTCCGTTTTACATATGCGTACAATATTTGCACGTTATTTTTTAAATATATATATATCGTGATAATTTTCAGTAGTTTTATTAACAATACTGTCTGCAAACGTTTTAGTAATAAACAGTGTCCTGTCACGATACATTTAGGTCACAGATGGTGCTAACTTTCCGAAACCGTCGTTATCTCGTTTTTAATGAAGAAGTGAAAGCTACAACTAGAGCGTGTCAAAGTTGATTTTTGCTGTAAAAATCGCGGAAATTAAATGGCAAACTTTAACGCACACAGTAACTTTGTAATTATTTGATATTGCCGTAAAAAATATTTTTATTTGATATATTTTTTAAACTACATATAAATCGCAAATGTTTTTTTATATATACAATTTCCATTAGTTTTCAATTAGAGCTATTTGATTTGCTTCAATTAATATTTAATTAGTAAAAAAGTCCGCACGTATCCAGACATATAGTCTCTTCCAATCTGTACGAATCCGATGTTATTAGCGACACGACAGTTTACAGAAAAATTCGTTCCAAGTTGTTCGAAGAACGATCGATCGATCAATACAATTATGTAAACGATTATATCTGATAAACGATGATATCTGAAATATTTCTTTTGCATGTAAATGTAGGATTCTTGCCGCGACGCTGCGTATGACTCAAGTTTGTCGAGCTCATTAAGTATTTCCGGTGCCTGATACGGTCCCCCCCTTTTCTGGTAGCTTCCATCTCGTTATCGACACTGTAAAAACTGATAAGGGTAAACCGGATATTCCACGCGCACGGGTATTCGTTTGCTCTACGACTGTCAATGCATTTCGTAAGGGAGACTATCTTTTCAGGCAGTACTATGGTGGCTATCAAGAGTCCGGTGGGGGTGGCGGACCGCCGCCGGGCAGCGGTGCCGCCGGAGGTGGCCCTGGAGTCGTTGATTACCAACCACCTCCGCCACCGCCCGGCGAATATCCGCTACCACCCTATTATGGGGGATATCCTCCGCCCCCCCATCCACCGCCGCCGCCTCCTCCGAATCCGGCATATCTGCATTCTCAGGGAAGACCTTTCGTAGACCGTAAGTATTTGTCGTTTACTAAAGAGAGCGGCGTGCGTGACATTGCGCTGTGAGGAAAATTCAAAAATTCCATCCCGTTCCCGCTCCATCTCCGGCCCTCCCTAGGTTTCTTTTTGTTTCATCAGCGAAAACAATTACGTCGACAAATATCGCCTGACATGTGCACTGCTGTTCATTAATGCCTGGACCTGCGTTTTCATCATTTTTTCCATCTATACGAATCACTGAGTTTCAGGCTGTACGTACTACCACAGACTTCTATAGAAGCTGTGTGAGCTACAGTCTGAAACTCATCGATGTATAGATGGGAATAAAGATTATGAAAATGGGAATCCTAGAAAAACTGAGGTCCAGGCATTTATGAATAAGACTGCACTACCACAGACTTCTATAGAAGATGCGTGTACTACAGCCTGAAACTTGTCAAAGGACGTACTTGGTGTTTTTAATTGTTCTCTGAAGTATAATCTAATTTTACCGCGAATTATTTATCGTCGCGCGTATCTTTGAAGTGGGATGTCGATTTCTTTATCGCCATAAATTATGCTGTCACAGAAAACTTAAAATTATATCGCGAGAAACTTAACAGGATAATATTGCGTGCCGTTGGATGATTAAATTGTCGGATAGAGAATTTTTCGAACTAAAATGAGTTTCTTTCTACCAAATCCAAAGATTTTTCATTTAATAATCGATACGTATTAGCCTCAGCTTTTCAGGAAGTATTTTTGCCATATTTTCAGTGCGTTGTTTAACACCTCAAATGGCTGAAGAAGGTTTAAATTCTCCTCTTTTTCTCCGGAAAATGCTGCAGTTGTACTTTCGGTTTCCATAAAAAGAAATTGCTAAAATTTCAAGGATTCTCCAAATCGTCCACATCGCAATTCTTTTGGAATTTTATTTACGGCTAAGTTTGTAATACTGTGGCTATTTGTTTTCACAAAAATATTAAAATAAACGTACTCCGGAAAGATTATCCTTGGTCCCTATTATGCGTCGGCTACAATGCGTGGAGTAAGGATCAGGAGTACGGAAATAAATTAATTTTAGTTTTTACTCCTACTTGAGCTTTTACATTTACTCTCAGCGAATCAGAACGCCATCGGCCGGTATTAGAAATAATTAAAAAATTACTTCTGCATTTTAGCTTTCTTGCACCAAAAGCTAAAGGTTATTGTTCTCTTTTACTTCTTTCGTCAGGCTTACACCACGCATTGTAGATAACGCATTTCATTTGGTGCGATTTCTAAGGGTCGTCCCTGAAGCTCGGGTCACATTGTGTATTACGGATCCGAGGCTGTGCCGTCCGACTGGCTGAATGCCAATCCGCCACCCGCATCTGTAAAACACGTGACACGGGCTTAAGGTTCGACTCCTAAGGAACCATTCTCCAAGGACATTAGGTTCGAAGGAAACATCAAAGTGGCATTTTAACCGCCAGAGGGCTGAAATGACCAAAAATTTTCGAGTGGTCATAGTTGAGTGCGCCATAGAGCGTAAACGTACATGCCCTACACATGGCCAGTGTTTTTTGTGTACCAAAAATTACTCCCTATTTTTATTCACCATACCGACGAGAACAATAAAAAAGGCCGTGACTTTCGCTAATGAGCAAAAAACTAATGACGTTCGTCTACTTCTTGAAATATGGAACATTCGTAGTAAGTCGACTCACTTCTTCATCCAAATGTTTTTTATGCCACAAACCAGCTAACCATGTCACTATTTTTTCTTTGTCTTAGCAATAAAACTATCGTGTACTCTTTTATTTGTCTGCTATTTCCCCGATTTTAAAGTGGAGGAAAGTCCTCTATTATGAGACGGGATTCTAATGAGATTTCAACGTCCCAATTCAATCACAAATCCTTTTTCGCAACGATTACACGATCTAACAATCTAATTTTCCACTAAACAGAATTCACTCCAAGGGCAGTAAATATTCTTGGTGGAATCAACAGACGATGCCAATTAATTTAGCAGAAACTCCGCTGTCTCATAATGGGGGGCTTTCCTCTAATAATAAATGAAAAGTATAAAAAGTTGCACCAAAATCATTTCGAAATTATTCGATTTAAGATAATGCACTTTTCTCCATTGTTTCTTATATAATTTCGTTCTTTTATTTATTCACTATATTTATTGGCACAACGTTTCGGCCATGGGTTTTGGTCCTTATCAAGTGGCCGAAACGTTGTGCCGATAAAGGGGGTTTTCCTGTTGCCAGTGGTGTCGAATTATTCACCCTTCATTCGAATATTTGCTGGCGGAGAAATATACTTTTGTTTTAATTAAGTTTACCAGATCTTTCGCCTTGTCACACGCGGTCACAAATTAACCCCTTCATGACCGAACTATATCATTTGATTTTTAAAGTGGGACACTAGCGTCTCAAGGAACCAGAGAGACCAAAAAATAGTGCAATTTATATGCATGTGGTCATGAAGGGGGTTGAGTTGTAAGGAGTCGACCGTCGGGCGCCGCGTGTCCCCCGAATACTTGGAACACAGAGACCGCGCATTTTCACCGATTCTTCCGTTTGTGTGCCGCAGCCTTTCAGGGTTGTCCATGCCCGATGCAATCGTGTCCAAAAAACGTGGATACTGGGGCCCTTATTGGTAATGGTAAGGGAGCGCCAGTGGTATCGGGGCCCGGTCTGTCATTGCCACCCAGTGCTATGGTAGGTCCGCCCTCGCCGGCGAGGGGGCTAGCAGGGCTAGCTCCCCCTCACGGTGCCAATGCCTGGGATACAGATCGCGTCCAAATCAACACTCACCGCAACCTAAATCAGAACCAATCCCCCTCGGTCCCGCCGTCGCGCAATCTAGTCGGTGGGCATAGCCGCCTTCAGAACCAAGACTGTAGGAGTAAGGTATGTGTTCCGCCGCTCTCACGCACTTGATCAGTGTCTCGATGACCGTCTCCGATTACCTTGATTTCCGGCCGATCTCCGAGGCGAGATGCGTGGACGGAAAAGTACGAGTTCGATCACAATGCGCTTAGACATATACGTAGATGATCGGGGAATTGCGTTTGACGACGATATGACGCCTTGGCGAGACTTTCGCAAAGACTTCTGCAATTGATTTGAATTCTTTAAATTGTTAAATACCTGTACCTTTTTCTGTAATATTTTTATAATATTCTAAAGCTCGTTTAAACATATTTATTTTTTCAAAAGAAAATAATCCAAGTGTTCAGTTGAGATGAAGACCTCAAAATCGATCATTTTGTAGTTGCGACACTTCACTTCTTAGGTACAGATCACTACGTTGCAAGTATCTGCTAAGATATTTCAATTCCAATTGAGCAAAGATTAAGATGTTATTATTTCGCGGGCTTCTAAAAGTAACTTTAATATAATAAATATTTCTTTTATTTTTTTTTTGATAACTTGCAGCGGAATATTGTTTCAAAAGCAGCATCTCGAAGATAGAAACCTTACGTGTATGATTATTTCAATTTTATACTCTGTACACAAAACGTGATGCTGTTAGTCTGACTTGTAAATTTATCGGATACTTTGATTAACGAGAGAAAACGAAACGTTTTATTTTCCTATCGATATTATCGATACGCTGCAGCTATAACTGAAAATAATCGAGTTGGGAGGCCGCGAGTGCCTTTTTCAAGTGCACGGGGATTTATCGCGCCATGCCGCGCACGTGTAACCCGGCAAATTTCCTTTCTGCCACCCCCGCAGGACGAGCAAAATTGTACGGAGGATACGCTGAGGAAATGCGGTTGTCAGAACGCGTGCACGTCCACTTGCGAGGTCAAGATGGAAACGCTATCGCCCACCGAGAAACTGTCCGTGGCGGCGAACTCTCCCAGCAGCAAGTATCACAACTTCAAGCTGGAGAACAACAACGTCAAATGCGAGTCCTGCAGCATGGAGATCAACGGGCTGCCGTGCGTCGCCAACTGCAACGTCGTCAAATGCGAGTCGGATTACAAGTGTGACATCATGAAGTGCGAGCAGTGCATGAAGGCGGGACAGATAGCGATACTGGAGATGGACAAGGATTCCGGTATCGTGCTGGACGACAAGCTCGACGGCGATCCCGACGTGAAGGAGGAGCTGGACGTAGTGGTGATCGACAGCGACGAGAGCTGGAAAAAGCCCGATTACGAGCCGACCGTGCAAGAGACCGTAGACGATAAAGAGGAAGAGGAGGAGGACGAGGGGGAGGGGGAAGTGGAGGAGGAAGCGATGCAGGGACCGATTGCGACCAAGGTCGAGGCCGATGCTGAGACCGAGGAACAGCCCAAGTGCCAAAAGGTGACGAAGAGGAAGCTCTCGCTGGATAGCTTATCGGACAGTAGGAAGAAGAGGAAACTGAGCAAGAGGGCCCTGTCGGTGGGCTCGTCTCAGGATGCGAATAACGAGGAATCGGCCGGTGTCATTGCGCCGATCGAGCCGCTACCGAGTAAGGCCGACGGCGCGAGAGCCGAGACGATCGTCTCGAAGAAGAAGCAAGCGAAGAAGGACGTAGGGCTTCGGGGTCAAAAGCGTAAGGCGGAGGCGCCGAGTGCGAACGAGACCGCGACTAAGAAGGTGAAGAGCGTCAAGCAGAGCATCGTCAATTGCTTGAAACGGACCGCCAGCGATATTTCGATAATGGAAACCATCGACGATGTGATACAGCAAGGCCTGCAGATGACGCAGAGGAAGGACCGCAAGAGCAAGAACTACGAGCGCGCGGAGAAGAAGAAGAAGAGCGTCAAAGAGGAATCGTTGCCGGCGGCGAAGAGGCCCGCGAAGAAGATCGATCAGCTGAAGGAGCAGGCCGTTGAGAAGATGTCAAAGGCAGTTTCGAAGAATGGCCAAGTCAAAAGCAAGGCAGACGCGAAACCGAAACCGAAGGTTGCGCAGGACGGTAAAGTCAAGGTTGGTAAGGGCAAGATTGGCAAAATTCTGGAGACGAAGGCGCAGGATGTAAAGCCTAGGGCGCAGGACTCGAAAGCGCGGGACGGCACGAAGAAGCGCGATATCGTGTCGAAGACCAAAGCGAGTGACGTCAGCGAGGATCCGAAAAAGTCGGCTGTAATTAAGAAGAAGCGGAAGAGCGCGAAAAAGGTGGCAAACGCCAAGAAGTCGGGCTGTAAAGTAGAGAATTCCTCGCCTGGAAATGAGAGCCTCACGTTAACGAGAAAAACGTTCCTGAAACCGAAGTGGAACAACGGATGGAGCTGGGATGGGGAGCCCTTTGAAGCCAAAGTTTATCTAACGGTAAGAATAATTAAACCTTGGTATACTTCGCGATCTGGAGATTTTACTTCAACTTTGGTATTGAGGAGCCAGATTTATATTGTCACGTAGCGCTATAATGAGAGAAAAAAGTATATTGAATTAAAGATAAAAGGCAATAAAAACAAACCTAGTTTTTTTAATTGTCTTTTGTTGCGTGATTCATTATTGTTATATACTTCGATGAATTTAGAAAAATCTAATTGACGAAACAATTTGTTCGAACTGTCCATACAATTGTTCTCCTTATAAAATTGAACGAAATTTGCGGAATTATGTTATTTAATAAAATTAAATACTGTCCGACAAAAGAATCCGCTGAATAGAATCGAATTTTGAAATCTGTCACCTTAGAATGAAGAAACGGCCATACGGCGATGTTACGCGAGCATGAGTCACGAGGGCGGCGACGTATTGCGGCCCCGGGACTGCGTATTGCTGAAGAGCGGTACGCGAAAGGGTGACTTGCCGTATGTAGCGAAGATTGCTGCGCTGTGGGAGAATCCGGACGACGGTAGATATCCCCGATCGCGTGAAACGCAGAGACGCCCGTCTGGATTTGATGAGTTAACATCACGCTGTGTTCTGCTTTTAGGCGAGATGATGTTCTCGTTGCTGTGGTACTACAGACCTGAGCACACAGAACAGGGTCGGACGCCGCACGACAGCGAGGACGAGGTATTTGCCTCGCGTCATCGAGACGCAAACAGCGTCGCTTGCATAGAGGACAAGTGTTACATCCTAACGTTTAACGAATACTGTCGGTGAGTAATTCTGTCTATGATGAAATTTCCCACACAGCAAACGTAGATTCTGAGAATATTTGTAGGATATCGCCAAGTATAAGCTGTTATAGGGATGCTCCCAATGTATTAGAATATCCTGCGGAGGTACAGAATATTCGGATGCTGTTCCTCACTGCTGTTAGGGATCTGTTCGATTTATAGTTAGCGAAATTGGCCACAAATCATATCGCATATTAGACAATCTCATCCCTCTTCATTTAACCGCTTAATAAGCGAATGAAATAATTGACGTGGAAGCTTTTTAATGTGTTTTTTTGAATCTCCGTTAATTTAAAAGTTTGCCATGTATAAATTTTTATTGACAATGTTGAAAGACATAATTTTTCCTCTTAGACCAAGCGAAATTGGATCATCTGCATATCGTTTTTATGTGCGACAGGTATCGTAAAAACTTACGGAGGATCGAGGAGGGCTTAGAAAATCCTGGCTTGATAGTTCCGCCAGGGGACCAAGTGTATCCAAGGGAGAATCGGCAGCCTCCTATACCAGTACCGTCAGACATGGTGCTTTTCTGCCGACGTGTTTACGACTATCGCGGGAAGAAACTTGTGAAGAACCCCGGATGACTCGAATTCCTGTAAGATGCAAACCGAGGAAGCTTAGGTCACACATTGAAACTGGCCGCAGGTCTCCTTTCAAGCGTAATTGCGTCGCTGTTGATCGATTTGTCTTGATTTCCAAGGGCGACGAGATTCGATTGTTTTTGTACCGAATTATCGATTTCACGAGCACATACAGCCTCTACTTTTACCTTTCGCCACGTTGCGTTTTACCTGTTTGTCAGAAGAACAATCTTTGTGTGGAGAAACATTCGGTTCTGTCCAAAACTGCGAAAAGGACGTGAGAAAAGTGATGTGCGCGAGTGTCTCAAGAACAATTGGATCTCCTTCTGCCCTTAAACGTAGGAAGATTCTTTGAATATCGCGTCAAAAGAAGAGAAAACAAATGGCACGTCGTGTATACTATAAGGCTACCCTTATCGCGCCGCTTACATCAATCGGTCTTTCTATTCTACTCGTCTGCGATACCACAGAAATCATGATGAATCGTTCATTAATTCTGGTGATAGATATTGCGTGGAATTCATGTCGGCGGGTCGGGCGCTGGAAAGCGCGCCGAACGTTCGGGTCGAAGCGTATAGATCTATTACAAGTTCCGGACGATATTTTTCCAAGGATGGCATTATCCGCATGTTCCTCTCGCGGGCGCGATCGCGAACTTCCGCCCCCCCCTCCCTCTGTCCGCTCTCCATTTTCCGCAGACATGAACGAAACCAATATACAATCTCGATAACGTATGTAAGATGTTTCTAGGCGAGTTAGTGGAATTTGACAATTTTATAGAGAGAATCATATTTTTTGTGAGATAGCATTTTACACAACACTTAAATGGATATTTTTCACATAGGAGATAACAAATGTACGACGCCGTAATGTCGTGTGCGTCATGGCGCCTTAACTTGAAGGGAACCTACGAACAGTTTCAAAGATAAGGAATCAAAAGCAGGGACGAAATTGCGATTATTTAGGGAAAAAGAGAAACAGCGTTATATATATTATGTATAAGTGCTCTCCGATTAGGCCCGAGCGCATGATACGAGGGGCGAACATCAAGCGTGTGCGACATTACACTTCCATTGTCCCACGGTATGTTTGCATCTGTCTCGGGGACGCGACTTCTCCCCGAAATCCAACCCGCGCACATTTGTCATCTTCGTCGATGTAATCATTGTAATGTAAAATGCATTTTTACGAACAGTGCCGAAGACAAAAAATGTTTCGAGACTGGAAGTGACTCGACTCACGTCGAACAATTTGAGAATTTACTGCTTTTGAATAATGTCTTTCAGAGATATCGTAAATATTTTATAGATATTTTAACGTATTACGAGACTTTTAAGTTTCCAAATACCTTCAGAAATCTGTTGTTAACGAGCGTCACGGTACTTTAAAACGTCTTGCAGTCATCCCGACCTGGAACGAGTAAAGTACTGTCATTGATTAACATTTTTTACATTAATTTGATGTATTTAGCAAATGATCATGTTGACGAGAAGATTCGTGAATCGAGCCATTTCCATCTGATAGACCGTGTCTACGTTTAGGCGATCTTTATTTGCTCGGTTTTTAATACAATAATATGACTCCTTCCAAGAATGCAGGAGACATGGACGTTTAATTGTCAGGGAGACGTTTATGTTTTGACCTGTTACGCACCGCGAGTCGCGCTTCTACATGCAGTTTTGATTTCTACACACACACAGACACACACGTACACACATGCATATATGTATATGTATATATGTTTATTTACATATATATGTATATGTGTATATATATGATTATTCTTTGTATTTTTTATTCATAACGATCTCTAAGATCTATAATGAGAGAGAATTGTAGTTGTATATTATCGCCTATAACTTAGGTATCTCGTTATGAATTAAAATTTTATGTACATACATATACATACATGTATGTATGTATATAATTTTGATTCATAAAGAATTCACATCTTAGCGATTAGTCAATACTCGCGGTAAAATGCCAAAAATAACCAAACCATTCACGAATTACGAGAAACACTTTTCAATGCAAATCATTAACATTATCGCGACGTACTAAAATTTATCACGAGATCATCGATAAGTAATTTCTGTGGGAATTCATCGAACCGTGTTAATTTTATTTACATTTGTTGAGTGTAGCGGGCGCTTTGTTGGAAATCATATTATTTAAAATTAATATATTAATATGGTTATATTATTTAATATCTAATATATTGGATGTAGGTATTAAGTTATTTTGCGAAAGAATATTAAGTAATAAGACGAGTAGAAGAGAGCGCGCGCGTGTTTACGGCTGTATGTATGTGTATGCATGCGAGAGAAGAGCGAAAAGAGGAGAGAAGACGAACGACGAGAACTGTTATAAATGAGCGAGTAAATCGAAAAGGCGGTAGAAAGAAGAGAGTGAGTGAGAGTGAGAGGGACGCAGGACGAGGATGACAGATCATGTTTATGAGAAATTTCGCGATACCAAAACATTCTTTCACGTGCAAAAATCTTTTCCTTGCGATTCGAAGTGCGTCTCATAATGTATCCGGATGATCCTCGATGAGATGCGCTCGATGTATTTCATAAGGAATCGACTTAGTCTTACGTAAAACACCGTGAAAACACACACACACACACAAACGCATGGATTTCGACGAGCGCCGCTCCCCCAAATTGAGTGCTGAAAAACGCTCCGAGTGTCCTTACGCGAACGCGCGCACGTCCTCTTACCTCCGTGCACATATCGGGACCGAGAGGGACGAACGGGCCCCGTCGACGTCTCTAAACACGAAAATTCCAAAGAGGCAACCCCGTGAAAGGGATGCAAATCGCGGCGCTCGTCGGCAATCCACCAGGTTCTTGCGTAATCTTTTTATAGATAGTTTTATATTCCTTTTTAACGCGCAAAGAGGAGATGAGAGAAAAGTGGTACGAAAGTGCGGAAGATAGTTTTTTTTCCGGCGGGAAAGAAAACGGTACAGGTAGCGAAACCGGGGAGAACGGTGATATGCGGGCGGAACAGTAAAGACACGCCGGAGAGATATCAAGAGAAAGGGGAGAGATTGAGAGAAAGTGGGAAGAGTTGTACAACTTGCGCGCGACTGTGTAGTGTCGCCGAGGCGTAGCGTATTCGCGAAGATCATTGAGACGAAACAGGCGGCGCCTGTGTAAATATTGTGTATGTGTAATACCTAAATGAAGAAAAGAATTAGGAAACGAGAGAGGAGGAGAAAGACAGAGGAGAGACAGGAGAGAAAGAGGCGCGGCTCTCCGTCGAGCCGCGTGCGCGCACGGCGCGGTTGTAATTTTCAGGAACTTACCTACCTAACGACGGTTAACATGGGAACATTGCACACACACACACACACACACACACACATACATACAACACACACAATGCATATCCTCTGTTCATTTTAAGTAGCCGACTACGAACTTTTTCCATCGAGAGCGCGAAGCAGCCGAGGCCTCCGTGTTCGTTCGTGGGGCACGCGTGGTGCGCGAGGCCTGCGCTGGCCTCCATCCTCCGCCGCCCGCTCCTTGCTCCTTCCTTGCATCCGCTTTAATCAAAATGCAACAAGTGTCGGCCGTGCGCGCTCATCGAGATCGGGTACGTCGTCAGTCGCGCTGTCGTATCGCTCGCTCGAGACACGCCGCGCCGATTACGAGCGTGGCTGCAAATCACTTGACTCATATTGAGTATATTCACCCGACTGTGTGTACTCGTCACGTTAATCCTTAACTGTTAAGGCGTAAAGGGATCATGTATCTATATTATGAGATAAATAGCGATTTCGTACCTCGCTGATAATAGGAGGGGACAAAAATATTAGATACTTTTTATTACTTTGTAAAAGGTATTTGCGCGTTCGATGAGGCATTGACCATTTTATTGTTATGTACACGATATACCGTTGTTTCTCGAAGTGAAATATTAATAGAGAGATCGGTTCAGTCAAATTTCAGATTTTATTTCGCTTGAATGAATAAAGGTCAGCCCAGACAATACGGACATCTGGAAAATGTCGTGGAACACTCGTCAGACGTTTTGTAGATTCTTTTATTATTTGGGAGAGACATATAGCAAGAGAAATAAGAAAGAGGTCGATTTCTTCGCGACGTATTGAAATATTTACTAAGTCATTGATTATTAACGTTGCAACAAGCAAAAGCGCTACAGCGGCGAAGGGTTTAGCAATTAATCGCGTGCGACATTGTTCAAACCTGAAACTGACATGATGAAATCGACAAAAGGTTGCGAACCGCGATATTTCTGACAGTTACAATTGAATATCGTTGTGAAAGAAAATATGACTTATATCCCATTTTTAACGGACTCTCCAGCGTGCGGACCGCGATCGTCGCCCGATCTCGAGAATGCGACCGCTATTTGCGCACGATCAACCCGATGAACATTCATTGCGCGGCGTTACGCGGTTTGCCGTGCGGATGCTCGATTTCCTCTGGTTTATTTAGCCGGAACAGGAGACGCGCGATTGTACTTGTAGGCGGTGCCTCGTTCTCGTAGCTGCGAGGCTTGTACGCCCCCCCCCCTCGCGAGGGTTTTTTTTATTTGTATAAACGTATCTAATAATAGTGCAGTGTATTAATGAATTACATGACATTGATAATTACGCGAGTTTTGAAACTAATTAGATAACTTTTATATTCGAGGATATGTTTAGCAGCTTGATATTTACTAAAGTGAACGTCCGCTCCTTTTGTTCACGCTTTTGCGCGAAGGGGATAATTTTGTATAGCATCTTTTATAATCACTTTTCTTTATTATCATTGTACAAAAGTACGCATACATTTCTCTGTATGTTCTCTCATATCGGTGTTTCCAACACATGTTTCCAATTATTTTCTAAAAGCATTTCACAACACTTCGAAGCGTCACGTAAAATTTCAATGTATTTGCAAACGAAAATTATATATTGCATTATACTGACATCGCATTGTATAATTTCATTGCTCGGCTTTGAATAACGGGATATATTTGCTTGCTACAAGTTATTGTTTCCAAGAAATAAATGGATTAACGTGATCTATGAAAAATCTAACTAAATATGCATTTGAATCGACATAGTTTTACTCTCTTCGCGATTAAATGACAAGCCAAGCAGTAAGATTGGAATGAAAAATTTTCTTTTTCGAAAAATTGTCTACACAGCTTTTAGTTTTTTTTACTCGAGAGAGTGCCATTTACGTAAATGACAAATTTCCTGTGACACGCGATCTTTTCGATGTAGCACTGCTACCGTCTATTCGAAATACTTGTACCCAGTTATCGTTTGAATCATGTTTAAATATATCGGAAAAGTGCGCAAGGCTCGCAGGCGGATCACGTCCTTGAGAATGCGGGGCACGCCTAGGAATTGCATGCTTGTAATTGTATATCGTTGCAGAGCGTCTTGAGCCGAGAATTGTTGGCAAGAAATAAATAAGAAATCTAATTTACCAAGTGTCTTACTGTAAAGTATCTACTCCGATTATACCAATAAATGATGGATACGGGTTCGCAGTACGAACGCAGACGTGTCAAGTGATTCGACGTTAATCAGACGAACTCTGGAAGTCGCGGAAACGTTCGAAAATATCAATTTTCGAGAACCTATATCTATTTGTATCGTCATTACTGTAAGAGAAGAAGGAAGATTGTGTCCTATGATAAAAATTTACTCCTACTCATATGCACAATTCTTATCGTGAAAAAGCCAAAGTATTAATTTATTTTTGTGACTACGAAAAATTTGCGATAATATTATCTTTCTGTTTAAGAAGATCGCTTAGATTACGCGAATGAGATATTCTGTACACCGTTTAGGCTTGCTACGCCATAACGATTAATCGTTCGTCCTTTTTGTCTCTTTACAATTGTATGTAATTTTATTTTGCAACCGCTTTTAACTTTTATTGAGGACTCGCGAGCACACGAATCTTGTATAGTACATGTTAGATAAGCAATGCAAGTTGCGGATTTGTTTCAAGCTTTTGCGAAAAGTGGATGAATGCTCGTTATATTTAAAAGGGAATTCGCTTTTATCTTAAGAGACGCCAGGACTCTAGTGTTAAATATTTTTCCGCTTGAAATTAGTATCGTTTAGGGATCGTTTGGACAAATGCGAACGGCAAACTGAGCGGCAACGCCACACAGGAGCATACAAATACAATAAAAAGAAAGAGAAAGAGAGAGAATGAGAGAGAGAGAGAGAGAGAAAGAGAGAGGTATTATTTCTACACGAAAAGCTGAGATAAAGGTATATATATAAATAATATATATATATATGACAAAGTATATATATATATAAATATATATATTTAGGTAATTAGAATAAAAAATATATATGTATATGATTGAGAGAAAATGAATAATTATAAATATGGCGTACACACATACACACACAATAGACTCGTACACGGCATACACACTCGCGTATACCCTTGACACGCACACAAATCACACGGTACAGAGCAATACGTGATACTTCTGTGGAGGACAGGGAACAAGAAGATAATACAAGTGCCAGGGAGCATTCCTAGGAGACTCGTTGTTTTACCGTCTACGGTGTTTTTCTTTCTTTTTAATCCTCGAAACGGGTGCGTGTCTCTATTAGCGGGCGAGTCGCCTCGCGATCCGCAGAATCGTTCCCGTGCTATCGGTATCTAAAATTACCGTAGCGAAGCGACGAATTACGCGTCTCGCGTAGACGTAATTAGCACGTTTCACGAGTGGAGAGCCGCGATGGTGTCAAGCGTATTGGCGAAGAGCACCGCGTTCCGAATGAAACCGACAATCGCTTTCGTTTTCCCCGCAGAAGAATCGAACTCTCTGCGCGCCTTTTCAAAAGTGTAACCGGTATACTTTGCTTGTAGCACACGGAGTGAATTTTCTCTTAAAATATACCCCGAAGATCATGTAATCGCGGGACAACACGGCATTCTGAAGAACTGTGCGAGAGTTTTTTGAAATTTTACCATACATTCCACCAGTAAAATGTATACCAAGTATAATTGCTAGTAGAAGGTATGGTAAAATTTCGCGAGGCTCTCGCACAGTTCTTCGAAATGCCACGTTGTCCCACGATCACACGGCTTGCAGGATAAATTTTAAAAAGAAGTTCTCTCTCGGTGTAGCCCCGATATCTTTTACCGCGAACAATTGGGGCCGAAAGAATTCGCGAGTTGAGAGAGGCATAGAGATCTCGCGCAGACGTTTTTATCTAGAATAACGTAAATGAATTTGGATAACATTTACATATACGTATATAATCGTTTTACATCTTTATATCAATCTCTGAACCAGAGGACGTGGTTCCGTCAAACGCGAACGCGTTCGTAAAGTGCATAAATCGCATCTTCCGCTTCTCATATCATTATCCAGACCTTGATACAAAGCGCAGTACATTATACACCGTGTCTGACGATGCGCAAAGAATTTGCAGACGATTACCAGCTGGTTTAATTTTGTTAATATTACAATTAACATGACACGTCTCTCAGTTCAGTTTCTTGTTAGATAAATGAAGATGAGAAGAGCAACGGCGACAAAAAGTCGCCTACAACGTCGGATTACAACGCGTTTCATTCGCCAAACAATTTATTCCCGAGCGGTGAGGAAAGGTTAAATGAACGTCGCGTCCGTGTCCAAGCAGCTTGACACTTCGCGCATTTTCGCTCTCGGATTCGACAAGAAACTAAACTCATAATGTAACTCGTCTCCATCCCGTACGGGAAAACGTTAGCGGTGCCACTTTGGAAGTTTCGGAAGCGATTCCCACTGTTTATAGTCGTCGCGCGACCACGATTCTCTACACGTAACACGAAAAGAACAAAAAATAAATAAACGTTTCACCGGCAGTCGAGTGCTTCCTCGAGGTGTCACGCGTTACTTTCAACGGTATATTTCGTACAAATACTATACTACTTTTAGACGTAATTTGTAAGCTTCGTAGAGTGAAACAAAAATGGGAATTAAGCGACGCGAACGGGTCGCGGCGCGGACGAGCGCGATTTCAACGCGAGGGGAAGCGATAACTTCCGCCTCTCCCTTTCGCAAAAGACAGGAGAGAATAGGAAGTTATCACCGCGACGTTACACCGTACGTGTCCTCGCACGCGTACTCGACCGGGCTTTCTCGCTCTCGCTCGCTCGTCCCACCGCGGATCCGCGTTTTAGAACCGCAATGTGTTTTTCACAGACAACCGACGTAAATATCTCGCGACCAAGCGCAGAAATCGTGAACGACGTGATCAGGCGCACGCCGTTGTCTTGTAACATTGTAAATTACTATAAAATATGGCGAACGTTTAATAAATTATTTGATCAAACCCGCCGGGCATCTCCTTATATCGCCTTGTCCCCGCTTGTCCTCCAGGCGTTATCAGGCGAGAGAAATGACGCAAGTTCCTTGGCCGATACGACAGTCGGCTGTTTATAGCGTCTCTACCTTTTGCATGTATGTACACCCAGGAACAAAGTTTCTTTGAATTTTGACCTTTCTAGACTTTTACTTCATTTCAAAGAAATGATTTCTTTACCTTAACCAAAATTTTATTTGATCAAGGCTGGAATTTCTAAGAGAATTCACATCTACTTCTTCAAATCTAGCAAATGTTTTGGTACAAGTAAATAAAAACTCAAGAGATTCAAAGAAACATGATTTCAACGTATCTCATTTGTTTAACTAAACCTAACAAAATCTTTTTTCTGAGTGTAGACGCTGCGGTTTTCAACGTGAAAATTGATTTCTTTGCAGCGAAGATATCGAAAGAGAAACCACTTCTGCGAAAGGAACTTATTCATGGCTAAAAATAGCAAGTATGTACAAAACATAACAAAAAAAGAATATATAATCAGTTATTGTATAAAATGTTTCCACCACTTCCACGCTCTATATCTTAAGTTATAAAGCTTAAGATGTAAAGTGGAGGTGAAAAGGTGTAACTTTTGCTCCATAAAAGGAAATAACATTTTATTGCACATCAATAAATTCCGTGCCAAAGTTTCTCTTGACAAAATAAAAAGAGATATACATACACGCGCGTAAAACAGTTCTATCTAACGCAAAAGAATATTTTATTATCAAATATTCCTCTCAATAGTCCCTTCAACGTTCAACAAGTTGATTCATAACACGTCGAGTGGCCGATCCAATTTTTGAATTAATCAAAACCCCTCCCGAATTCCCTGCGACGTGTCATCTCTTTATTATAGTTTCAAGAGACGTCGCAGGTATAAATTAAGTTCCACTTAAAAAAGGGGTCTCCCCCCTTCGTTCGGGGAATATTTGCATGTAGCCCCGTTCGGGCGTCATAAATTCTTGGGCTTCACGTGGGGTTAATCCTAGAATCGTGAATGTCGGCACGAACTTTGCCGGTTCCCGAGGATTACGCAAGATGCGCCGCCCCGGCCATAGGCGGTTTCAGGAAAGCCCGCCGATCGCCGCCTGAAAAAAAAAGAAGCAATCATGTACATACGTTAATCAAGCGAGGAAGATGAATCGTTCGCCTTCTGCGTTCTTTCAGCCCCCGGGAATTTCCGTGGGAACCCGTTCCAAGGAGTTCACTTTACTCCATTGTTCCCGCATCTCGTTCCCGGGGGAGATTGAGGACTTTCGAAGTATCCGTCTTGTCTTTCATTTTCCATCGCTAATTACTCGAACGGTATTCTTACCTCGACAATTTTATTGACGAAAGACCGGCATTCCGCTGTCGAAATTTGATTAAAAAACTCAAGTTCCCAAGTGCTTTTATTTGTCATTAATACCGTATCGTATCAAATTTTTTTTATTTTATTATAATTTTTCAGGCCTGTGTCCACGATGCTAAAACTTGGATTTGCAGCTATTCCATAAAAGCTACAAGTTGATTGGCTACACATTTCTCGAAAGAGACTAGAACTTGGACCAAGATTTAGCATCGTGGACCCAGGCCTTAACACGCATAAAATTGATGTTGGTTATTTGATGAAACAACAATCTCTATTCTCTATATAGAAAAGGTTTATTTCTTGAAATCATTGAGTCTCGCAAGCGTCTTCACTTATCGTTCAGATGAAAACCCTCGGGGAGGGGGGGGGGGATTAAACTCTCAATTTACATTCTCAGAAACAAGTAGCCAAGTGGAACGATTTGTGATCGCAATCTCAATGCCCGCGCACTTCTTTCAGAGCGAAAACTGATAAAAGTGCGTGTTGAACGGGGGACCACGGTCGGCCGGCACACGAACTTCGGCGCGACGGAAGCGGCATGAAAGGGTCGAGCCGTTGAAGCGGAAGGAGCGCGGAGAGAAAGAGTATCCTGATCCATCTCCTTCTCTCTCGCAGGCAGGACGAGAGGACACTGCGATCGCGGTCAGCGGCGGTGATAGTGACGGTTTTCAAGTTTTAATCCGCGCGAGGGCGAGAGGCCTAAGCCGAAAAGCCCGCAGCCGCGGACGTCATCACGGCCGCTTCGTGCCCGTCCAGCCGCTCCTCCAGATTACATTAATTCGATTAATGGATGCCGTCCATCGTCGGTGGTGGCCGCGCCGCGCCTTCGCTGGATTTCTCCCCGGTGCCGGCTCGCGCTCGCTCGTCCGCCCCGAGCACCGATGGAGAACGCACGACTCGTGATCGAGGTGACACGCCACCGACGTAACGAAAAAGATACCGGTCACGAGATCCGAGAGAAACGCAAACTCGTTTACGCTCG